AAGCAGCTTCAAAGAGTCCAGATCACAGGTCTCCTGGAAGCTCCGTGTTTTAGTCTGTATGAAGACTATAAGAATTTTCTCTTTAAAGTAACATACAGAGTTAGTAGGTCAGTTTACTCTGAGAGCAGCAGTTAATCAGATCAGACACAGTTTTATAAAATCCAGTTTTATGAAAAAAATAGGGCAAATAGAATTCAAAACTTGACATGTGATGTGATGCCACAACAGTGTCAACTCCTGGGGGAAAGCAATCCAAGGTTGTTTCTTTAAACATGTACTTCAACAATGTAATGGGCTAAGAACATGGATAGATGTGTGCAGAAACAGAAAATAAACCTGAACACACAAGGCTCATTCTCCAGTCAACAGGAAGACAAAAAAGGTATAACGAGAAGCAGATTGGTCTTTGCACACTTTTCAATTCTTCTAGCACAGGTCCGTTATGATCAGAAAAGGGAAAAAAATAGGACAGTCTTTATCTTCAGTGCAATTTGCATAATGCCCTTGCCCCAGAAAACCTAGAAAACCAAGAATAGAAAAGTGGTTCTTTTGACGTGACAGAAAGGAGAAACTAACAGTATGCTATGTCAGTCCAGTTTGGTCTTTTGTATGGCTTCTGGAATTTGAGGCAAAATTCCCACATGGGATAAAATTATTTGACTCCACTGCCTACAGTGTAAATTCACCAGTCCATGACTTCTGAGGACCCAGTCCCATTCTGTTTGCCACAACAAAACTTTTCTAAGGAATGGAGATTAAAAAGATGTTTCAATGGTGGGTACAAGCATAGGATCCAAAACTCCTGAGATAAGATTCAGCTTTGGCACAGGGTTCATACATGAACTTGGATATGTCTTTTCTGGGCTCAGTTCCTCATAGATAAAACAGTGATCCCCAAGTGATGCTGTAAGGATATGTGTTCTAAAGGGTGGGGCACTGGGGTCATACAAATATTTGGTAGAGACCTCAGGAAAAGATGAAGAATGGGAAACGCTGTCCAGATGGTGAACAGTGTTGAGTGGGTGGGTGTGTACAAGCCATCCCTTATGCATGGATATGCCATCTTGGTATTCTTCGTTTACTGTAAAGAAAAGGAGCACTGGATGCAGGTAGCTTATCCTCCAGGAAGCCAGCAATGAAAAACAAGCAGCTTATCTAGTCCTGCAACCCTCCCTGCTTCCCTTCCCTTCAGCCGGAGAGAGCATGATAAAAGAGAAAGCATGAGTCTCTGTAGGAACTCAAAGCTGTGAATCTTCCTCTCACCCTGTCTGGCCAAAATCCCTTCATTTGCAGGGGGAATTTAGGCCAGGGATCACCAGTTCTCACTCTCAGCCAGAATAACAGAGGAGAGGGTTAGAAAGGAAGAAAAACAGCCATAACTCAGCAAGTACAGTCAGAAAGAGAGGAGTAGGAGATGCATAAAATGTGGTTCTCTAATATGTTTCCAGCCATATCCCCACCCTGCTGACTCTTTCAAATTTCCCCTATCAGGACAGAGAGAGATTCTTTTTTGGGGGGAGGTCACTTACAAACAAGGATATTGTTTGTCTTTTAGAAGAAGAAAGGAGATTAGGTCAGGAATAGATTACTGCTGCTTTGGAAAGCGGTTGCAAACTCATTCCACCCCCCTATTCGATTCCAGACTTAGGAGCAAGACAGATACGTTGGGGTTTGCTGATGCAACCTTACTGAGGAATGCTCCCAACAAGACACAGACAAGCCAGGATGGCACTGCTCCACAGCTTGCTGGCAGTAGTGGGACTTAGGATAGGAAGGGGCAAGTTCTCCATCAAAAATAAAAAAGAATTACAGAATGGAGAAAATCAAAAGTGAAAACAAAAAAGGTGCAGCTGAAGTTTGAGGTGGTTAAAATGAAAAATGGGACTGTGCCATTCACAGGTGGATAGATAGATCAATCAATTGATCTCGTCTACACTGACACACTTTGGAGCTATAATTCACTGCTGGGGCAATTATTCCAGCATAGCAGTGGCAGGAGCTATATCAGAGACAGAATTCAGGTGCTTTTAGTCAGGGGAGAGTTGGACAACAAAGGAGTAAAAAATGGTAAATACCATCCATCAGTAAAGATACATGGGATATAAGTTATGTCTGTGCACTTGCAGGGTGTAGAGGGACAGACAGACAGATAGATAAATAGACACATAAAAGTCTGAGTTTTGGTTGTGCAATCATTCGCTGTCTGACCTTATACTCTCCTCCTCTCCACTACTCTTAGAGAGAAAAGCGTTTAGCATTATTGCGTCCAGGTCTCTTTGCCATGTTACTGTTGGCTCTTTTATCCCCCCACACTGAGTAAGTGGTGCTGACTCTGGAAGGTGCGAGGAATTTTTCTTCATAAGCCTTGATGTGTTCAAGAGAGGGCTGGGCTCATCTCCACTGTGAGTCTGACAGGCGTTTTAACAGCCTCACAACACCAGGACAAATAGCTCCTGGTCCCTTAACTCTTCTCAGATTTGCAAGGCAAGGCCCAGCACTGTTGTTCCCATTGCAAGGGCTTTACACGGTCTTTCAGGCTGAAATCCTCTCTGTGGTGGCTGGGCAGAGCGGAAATCCAGGGGCTGGATCAGATTGGCCTAATGCTACAGCAGCTTAAGCGGTCTGTTTTACCAGAGATTATGGTTTCACTTACACAGAGCGCCTGAAAAATGCTTCGGTTTAGGAAGGATTATCGCTGAAAATTCCATGCTTTAAAAGAGAAATAAAGCAGGGGAGGGACTAGGAAACCCAATGTGCCTGGGGGCTGTGCAAACAGGATTAACCTCTGCCCATAGCACCTCTTGCTTCTGCCCACCCATGCTTCCTGTGTCCACCTTCTCTGTCCTTTCCTTCCTAGCAGCTCCCCACACCTGCTGTCTTTTGTATAATACAGAGAGCTGGAAAAGGAGTCTGGAAAATGCCCAGGACCAAAGTGTCCCTAGTTTATTTACGTATCACTGTCAAATGGCTTCCTTGAAAAATATCACTTCACTTGCAGCCTGTGAAAGCCAGAGGAACTTTTGGCCCTCTGCCTGCAGATAGATCTATTCATCCAAATTATCTTGTATCAACATTATTTGGATAAAGGCTTCGAGCACTCCCAGAATGCTGGTGGTAACTGTGCCTGTCTGCTCTGAAGGTAAATCTGTGAACTCCTTGCCATCTGATGATAGAGGATGCAGAAGAAAAATAGCTTTGGGGCTTCTCCATCTACAGAGACTGGCACTGGCATATGAAAGTTCACTAGTACGATTGTAGGACAGTGTATAGTTGTAAAAAGCAGAAGCTGCACACTGATGTGCTGCCTACTCTGGCGACTTTAATTAACTGTACAATAAAATCCAGATACTCCGGCTTCTGTTCCGCATATCCTCCACAAAAGGTCCCTGCCAAACAGAGCTTCCTAGCAAAAAAAGAAAAGAAATTACAATCCTCACATAGCACACCAGAGACATCACATAAGTAAACTAAATGAAGAGGAACCATACACCTTTTGGCCAGGACTGATCCTTCCCAATAGACTGAAACATGAACATATGTCCTTGCTGCAAAGGAGTCTTGGTGATGAGAAACCTTTACTGGCCATCCAGGTCAGAAGTACTTGGAGCAGAACACAGATGGAAAACTATCAAGTAGCAAACCTTTAGGAAACAAATATCTCAGGATAAACAGAATTCACAGATAGAAACTGCCCAGCCCTTTATTGTCTAGGTGAGCACTACAGCCTCTCAATAAAATGCCTAGAGTTAATTAAGCCAGTTCTACATTAATGAAGTCAGATCTATGACCTAATTATATGTCACATTTGTATTTCTCTGTATAAACCAAAACCACCAGAACTAACTTATTTCATAGGCCATTGGCAACACTCGCCATCACAGCAAAGAGATGGCTTTAATTTATTGGCATTAATTTGTTTCCCTGATGGTTTGCTAGATGATTTGGATAGGATCTGATCACATCATCCATGCTTTGCTTTCAGGTGTTCAAATACAGCATTCTACTATTGCTGTCCCAACAACAGTGAGTGTTCTGGAGTACTTATGCTTTAGGTCACAGAGTTCTCCAATTCCCAAACCTCCTACTCAGCAGCTGAGTTAGGAGCAGTTGCAAAGCTGTATCTATTGTGCCTATGCAAATCTGCACATCAGAAATGGAAGTCCAATATAAACAACAATGAAAATTAGACCTTTTATCAGTCCCCTACATTTTCTCTTCTCCATTATGTCTCTCTGTCAAGGTATCTATCTGGCAAAATTATACTCTGTGAACAGCCAGTTGGTTAAATCTCCAAAGTGTGCCACTGTGAACAAGATCAATTGATTGATCCATCTATCTACCTATTAATTGCACAGTCCCATTTTTATTTTAACCACCCCAAACTCCAGCTACACCATTTTTGTCAAAGCCTTTATAAAATTTGGCTTGAGAAGCTTTGACAATTACACTCAGCAACCTGTTTAATAGGTACTCATAGCAGCGCTGCTCTCCTGGGGAAGGTTACCTTGAGTTTGAAGAGAAAAAGTGGTATAATTCCTTGAGCCAAACTCTGTAAACGTAGCATCTTCATGTGCCCTCAGCCAGCAAGAGAAAGCAACAGGAAAGGGAGCACAAAAGCTTCAGAGCATTCTTCTTCCCAACCCTATGCTTCTTCCTGTCCTCCTGCATGTTCCCTCTCTCACCTCTCCTTTTCCTGCATCTCATCCCTCCCATCTGCCACGGCACTCCATTCTCCTCATCTCTTGCTGCCCCTGCAGAGGCATCCCTGCAGTCTGAGCCTAGCCCCCAGGTGCATTTACTGCTGTTATCTCAGCACTGGCTCCTCTGATCTACTCCTAACCTTTTTATTTTTGTTTTTGTTTTAAAATTAATTTCCCTGTAGATTTTAACCACTCCATTTTCATTTACCCATTTTGTTCTTCCTCTCCTCCCTTCCCCACCCTCCTCTTCCTTCCCCTGTTCCCTTTGTCTGTCTGTGTCCATCCCTTACCCTACCACAGAAAACCTCTCCTCTCCCCTCAGTATAAAGCAAGAGCCTCATGGAGCCTCTCTCACCCCTTTCACCCCCACCACGCCGGTCGGCTCTGGGCAGGCTGATCTTCAGCCCTTCCACATGGCCCTTTCAGACGATGCGTCCACGCCCTGCTACAGTGCCTTCCTTCATCATGGTGCCCACTTTGGGCAGTCCAGCAGCCAGCCTCTGATAGCAGGTAACCGGCCTTGGCCACAAACTGAGTGGGGATGCTCTAGGCAAAGGGTTCATTTTCGTCTGACGGGGAGGCCAGTAAATGCTGCAAGCTCTTTGAGTGCAAGTGGGAACCAGAGCAACCACGTTCCAGGTCTGCATATGCAGCATATGTTCTCAGCTGCATGAAGTCACAGTAAGATTTCATGCCTATCCTTCATTTTTTAGAATAAAATGGGAAAAGAAGCTGTAACTACTTAGAAGTGACTGGGTGTCCCAGCTGGATGGGTCTGGGACTCAGCATAGAAGCACCTGTACAGCATAATCCTGTGTTTCCTCAATAGCCATAATGTCCTTGTGTACTGCAGGCCCAGAAAAGGTACTGTGTGCTAGCCTAACGGAGATGATGGCAGCTTGAAGATCCTAGCCAGCTCTAGTCCTGCCTGGGTTGTTCAGCACAGGTTGTAGCTACTAAGTCAGATAAACACATAGGCAGTTGGTGAGCACTGCCACAGCTATGCTGTGGGCAGTATTTGAGTCACCTGCTTTGGGAGTGTCAGTGTGAGCTGGTGCCTTCACACAGCAGACCAAGTAGTTAAGAAACCCAGCATCATGTATCAATGTCAAAAGCAGGAAGGGTGTGTGAGAGACTGTAATGTTTTACAGCCAAAAAATACAGACCTGACGTAGGTGGCCTTTAAGGCAAGAGTAGAAGTGAAGAAATAGGTTGCAGAAGATGGCAGCACCTATGAGCAGCAGGCGGGAGGGGAGAATGAGGAGGAAGAACAAGTTTCAGGTTGGTACTAAGGAAAACTCCTGACCAAGGTGACTGAAGCAACATTGCTGTAGAAGTTCAAGGGTAACTTGGATGAAATAGGGGGTATTATCTTAGGTGACCACTGACCACTTTCCAAAGGATGTAATCTGAGCTTTTACAGAACAGACAAGTCTTAGTGCAGACCATAGTTCCTAATACTCAAGAAACATATCTTACCTCTGCCTCCTTCATGTTCGTTTATTATTTTTCCCTTTTGACCTAACATCCATCCTTTGTATTGTCATGTGAGATTTCCATTTCTAAACCTCCATGTAGGAAAACAGAAAGTAACATCAGAGAAGATTTGTTTTCGTAACATTGTCTTGGTCCAACCTTACTGCAGCCAGTAAGAGCCCCTGAGTTCTGGGCACTTCCTAAGCCAAGAAGTCTCCTGACAGACTCTCTCCAATACAGATCTTTGGGGATGCTGTCATATATGACCAACCTCTAGCCTAGAAGGCACTGTGTTTCAGGAGAGGGACCTGCCTTAGGACCTTTATAGGAAATTAGACATGGGACAAAGTGTTCAAAAGCTCAAACAATGTCACAATGATTCAGATGCTGTTTCTCACTCAGAAGGCTCTTGGAGGAGAGAGAATGGCTGGAGTTGGAAGCATGTTATGAGTTAGCTTTGCCATAGCCTTGGAGTACAAGAATTTAATAATCCTGTCTACCTGTTTGTAATGAGAGGAGGTAATGGAAGGGGCCTGCTTCCATATAACAGCATTTTAAGAGCCTCGCTGTGGGACTCTTAGTGATGGTGCTGATACAGTACTTGTTATCTTCTTTTTCAAGACTGGGATTTTGACAGATGATCACTTCCAAGCAAATTTTCCATGCTCAGTTTTGAACATCAGCCTCTTGCACTCATGTCTGAATAAAAACACAAGGGCATATGTGCATACGTCAAGTAGCAGAGTGAGTGTATATGTGTTCCCAACTGAATGGAAGTGTCAAAATGAATTAATTTTGCCTGCCGCTACATAATGTTATCTTTAACTTTTCAGTGACACTGCTTTCTCACTCATCACCTGTTGTTATATCTCAGGCTAGTCAATAAATGAAACTAAAGGAACAAGAATTTTAAGCACAAACATTTCTTGCCTTAAAAGAATGCGAGAAAAAAATAACTACATCTAGTAGGCGTTATTCATACAGCTTAACACACAACTACAAATCACTAAAGGAATGATGGTGATAAATGAGTAAAAGAGTGTAGAACATAAATCCCTGAGACACTACATATTTATTTTTATCGATATTGGGGAGTGGCTCGAAAATGGCTCAGTCATTGCCTGGTAGTTCTATGCCATTATCTAAGAGGAGGTGAGCTAGGAACATCAGCCAGCTAGGAACCTCTTCAGGGAGAAAGAATGAACTTGCATTTCTGTCTTCTTGAGTAAATCACCTCAGTAATCTTTAGTCAAGACCTATGAAAGCAATGACACTCTTTTAACCTACCTCACGCCAGAGAAAATTCCTCCTTTCAAGTTAAGCTCCGTGCCTCTTAGTTCTTGCTTTGCCTTATCACTGTTATTTATCTTTGATTCCCCAAGTTTCATGCTTGTTCCAGGGCCTGCTTTATCAATTATCATTTTGCTGCTAGTAGAGCTAAACCAACTCTTCTTCTTCTTTCATTGGTGTATCCCAGCACAGTTCCAGTGACTCCAGTGGTGTTAATGGGCTACACTTAACCTGTCACTTCTAAAGGCAAATCAGACTCCTGCCCTTCAGTTAGAACAGACAGGAGAGATAAAATTTAACAAAGGAACAACAAATGGCACAAACTTCTTGGTGAGCTACAGTTCACCTAGGAAATGTGAAAGGCTTTGGATGCCTGGAACAGGCGGACATCTCAGTAGGCAGTGTTGGAGGTTGAGCTGTAAATCTCTCAGCAGCTGTGGGGGAAAGATTATCTTAATTTATTTAGTGCATTTTTTTTTTATTTTGGTTTGGGTTTTTTTGTTTTGTTTTGTTTTGGCTTGAAACTCCCAGCAGCTTCTGAGATTATGTTCGTTCATTTAAATGCAATAAGCACTAACAGCAAATGCCCTTCTGGCTGGCCCATTTTCAGGCTAACCCATCCAAATGAGGAAATGCCTCTGGCATCAACCAAGAAGCCCCCAGCTGCACTTCCTAAGAGATGAAAAATAAACTACAACCAAACATCCAGTCCACACCCCTCTCTACTTCTTTGATGGTGAAAAGATATTACAACTTTAAGTATTACAAACAAAAACTTGTACCTGTGATAAAAATGAAGTGAGACTCAAACTAATTTGCATGATCCTATTATTATATACAGTACACCAATACTTGGAAGGAGTCCAACCAGTACTGGTCTAATGCTAAGCCCTGTGCAAACATACTAAAAGTGTGGCCTTGCACCAAAGAGTTTGCAGCATAAAAAGAAGCACAGAGAGGTGAAGTGACTTGCCTAAAACCATCAGCAGATGAATGACAAAGGTGAGAAGAGAGATGGGCACAGAAAACTCTTGGATCACTTTCCAATGCCTTGCACATTGATCATGCCCTAAAGCAACATCACCACAGTTTTGGAACTGCATCCACTGCATATAGACAGGACCTCAGCTACTTTGGCAATGAATATGCTGCCATTCTCTGTGCAGATCAGGGCCATTTTGATTTAGCTAAAACAGATCCAAAATCTACAATGAAACAAAACAAATTCTTTTGAGCCTCACAAAGCTAAGTTTTAACATCTACCCTTACAGTGTGAGATCAAAAGTGCCACAATCTTCACCCAGAATTTTAAGGGGATGGACAGCACTTATGTAAGAGAAGGCTGCACATTAGTTGCCTATCAAGCTGCTCGTCATGTGACAATGGGAGAGAAGGTGATATCAAATCAATATTGAAAGATCTTATCCTTATTGATCACCTGTCCTGATTCTTTCCCCTTCCAGGTCGTGATATGGCAAGCACCACCTTGCCTGGCTACCCACCCCATGTTCCCCCAACTGGACAAGGCAGCTACCCAACCTCAACTCTTGCAGGAATGGTTCCTGGTAAGTCAGCTGCCAGACCTCACTAATGGTGCACACATGTTTGAACAGTATACCAGCATTGCAAGAGCTTTCACATCTGGCTTGGCTATTGCTTTGCTGACATTAAGAGCAATTCTTTTCATAAAGAAATCATCAGGTGCCTATAACCAATGTCGCTAACAACCTTTTTTGTAATGTATCTCTTTCCCCCTAGTAACTGATTAACTGCTGCTATGGGCAACTAGCTAGCTATAACCTGTGGCAATTAATTGGTAATTAATTAACCTAGTATTCATTAACTAATGTAATTATTTTCCAATGACCTATGCAGGTTATTATGCACTGCTTATGGCTCAGGATATTCACTTATCCACTAACTTAGGGGAACAACTTACCTTCTATCTAAAGCCACGGCATCAAACTGAAAGTTATCAATGGTAATTTAATACCTGCAGTTTTTGGAGACCTACTGTCTATAGCCTAAACTAGCTAAGAACTCAGCAATGATTAACAGCATTTCAGGAGAAACCAGCTATGCGCTTTTAACAACCAACTACTTACCCACCTCCTGTTTGTAAGATTGTGCCTCCAACCCAAGAAACTATCTACCTAATCCTACATCCAAAGGCAAACTCTTTCTTTGTTACCCAATGCCTTTGGAGAAATACCTTATCTCAGCCTATGGATTCTCCCACCCTTTAGGGAGAAGAGAGGACCATTTACTTTAGGGCAATTGAAGTGTTTCTCACCTTAGGGTCTATTCCTCACTCCTCTGATGACAGTTTTCCCCAGGAGATAAATGAAGAGACAGGATTTTCATTTCTCAGACACAGTAGCTCAGAATACAGAACTTAGCTGCCACTGATTTCTGCTTTTGTTACAGCCCGGGGTTGTGAGTTCTGGTGGTTAAGGAGCAGGTACACAGTCCATTCTGCAACCTCTGCTTCTGAAGGGATGAGTCCAGAACCAAAGCAGCACAAAGTTGGGGACAGAAAGCTCTTATATTACTATCACATGATTTGCCAGGGCTTATGAGTGGAAAGCCTAACTTAACCCTCATTCAAATTTTGGAACAGCTAGCTGAATGAACATAAACTGCAGTGAGGATAGCAAAAATATCACTGATAGGAAATGTTTTCAGGTCAAAGTCTTTGAATGATAAATCACAGAATCATAGAGTGGCTTGAGTTGGAAGGGACCTTTAAGATCATCTAGTTCCAAAACCATTGTCATGAGCAGGGACACCTTTCACTAGAGCAGGTTGTACAGAGCCCCATTCAGTCTGGCCTTGAACACTTCCAGGAATGGGGCATCCACAAGTATTCTGGGCAACATGTTCCAGTGGCAAATTTTAGGGCATCTCCTTCTACATCCTTCTAGATGGTTTGGCTCCAGAATCAGAGAAGCACTAAGACAATATATATCAATTAACACACCACACTCCCATAAACACACACCAGTAACAGTAGGTAGATTCAGTTGACAATATTTCAATCAGTCAAAGGTCAAAATTTACAGGAGGTCACAGCGTATAGAAATTATTAATAATACCAAACTAACTGGCTCTTTGAGACTTCTAAAAAACCAGACTCTTCTCAACTTCTAACTGTTCGCAACTGTTCAGTCATTGCTATGTAAGTTAAATGTCCTCATCACAAGGATGATACTGACTTCTAAACTGGGACAAAGATTTTAAGACCACTAATCACAGGGGTCACTTATCCAAAAATAGGGTATTTTAGCTCTTTGATGTGGAGGTTGCTTATCTATAACACAGCAGCGTCCCAAAAAAGCACAGAAATACTCCCAAAAAGAAAAGGAACAGAATTATATATGAAAAAAAAGTTGTTATAGTTCAAAGTAAAAAAAAAAATACTCCAGTCAAATGGATATATTTACATTAAATCTAATGTCAACATTCAATCAGAGGAAGTTTTTCCAGTGGCCTGCTTGGGCACCCTGCAGTAGTTACTGCATCTTTCAACAGAGCATCAAGTTCTGGCTGTTTCAGTCATACCCCACTGGTCAGACCCAGTCAGGAAGCCCTTCTATTCCTGTCTTCTAATGTGACCAAAGCCAACAAGATGGAGATAAAGAGGCTTCCTGTGAAGAAACAGAAGACTTGGTTTTAATGGGTCACACTGCAGATCTCTGCAGCCACTACTCTGTGTCAGGGGCCAACAGGAGAAGTCTGAGGAAGCATTAAGAATAGAGCAAGCATGTATTGGTACTTTCTCAAAAGATCTCCCAGCCTCCAAGTTGCAATTAAGAGACTTCCTAAGCCAGACTTAGTATATTTCTATTTCATATTAAACACCCTCTATCGGTTTTCCCTCCACAAACTTAAACGTCTCCTGAACCCATATAAGCCTTTAACATCTACTGCAACCTGTGGTAAGAAGTTCTGTAGCTTAACTACATATTTTGTGAAAACTATTTCCCGTATTTGTTCTAAACCTGCCACCTGCTAGGCTCACTTCATGCCTCATCGTTTCTGTATTGGAAGACTAAACCAACAAGATTTAAATACAGATGCCAAGAAATACTGTTAGTAAAGATTCCCAGAGCACAGATTGCACAGAATATAGGCCTCATGAGATCGATCCTCTGTGCTTGCTTGCAATCTCTGTTAAGAGTCCGGTTTGAGCAGAGAAAACAAATACAATATTGCCAGTGGTTTGTTACATGCCCTCAGGCCAAGAAAGATCAGGGGCCAGCGCTCTAACTACACTGGAAACAAGAAGCCAGCAAGAGGACCACTCAGGAAGTATCTTTAAGAAACCTACTGACATACAAACAAACCTATTGTTTAGATATGAGTGAAGAAGAGAAAGAGGCTCTGTATTCTTTAAACAAATGTACAGATCTAAACACACAACTGTTCAGAGACCAGATTTCTAATCCATGCAAAATTCTGATTTTTTGATATTTGTTTTCATCCTGCATTGGTACGAGGAGACAGAATCTTGAAACAGTTCAATTTGCGAACATCAGGATAAAACATTTCAGTAATGTCAACATGTTCTAGATGTCAAGACATATTAAAATAATAAAAGAATTGAAAGGAAATTAAATGAGATGAGAAAGGCAAAATGAAACAGAACAAGAAAGTTGAAACATAATACTTTGTTTCAATTTGCAATAATTTCAGAACTTTTCTTTCCAAAACTCCATTGAAGCTGACAAGCTCATGCAAGACATTTCCATTTCAATGAGACAGTATTTTCCAGTGGAAAACTGTTTCTGAGAAGATTGTTTGAGCAGTGCTAATTAAATCTGCTATGTTCTACCCATGACAGCCTTTCAATAGACTTCTACTTGCATAATCTACAGAAGAGCTTGTCTCCTGTTGCAGTACATCCATGCAACATGGTCAGTGCATGCAAATATCTCTGAGGTTTATGTGGATGATGTGATAAGATACATATCCTGCATTTGCCCCTGCCCATAACTTCAGGTTGTAGACATGGAAGAAAGCCAGTAGTCCTGAGCACACACTTGAAAAAGTAGGGGTTAGTCACCCAAAGAAGGATGATTCGGGTATTGTGCTACACTTAACCTACGCATTTGAGAGAGGTTTCCCACAGAGGTAACAGAACACCTTTGATCTCTGCCTCAATTCTTCCTCTCTCCCAGAAAGGTCACCAAGTTTCAGCAAACTGTTTTAGTAAAGTGAGCATCAGCTGAAGGAACTGCCGTTTACACAGAGCAGCGCGGAGCCTGCAGAGGGCTGGGGATGGCAGCGGCAGGGAGTCGTTAAACAGAATCCAATGTTGATGAGGAAATTACACTTGTTTCATTAGTGATCGGGGAAGGCGATAGCTCAGTTCCTCTTGGTCACAGTTGAGCTCAAAAGCTCATTATCCTGCTGCATGCATGCTTTCACTCCTCGTCAATAAACACTGTTTCCAGTGGCTGCCCTCCCTCCTCCCCAGCGCTCCATAGCTGTGACTCTTTCTCCTGTACTTAACCCATGTTTAGGAACACTATAAACAGTTTAGGGTGTCAACTCAGAAGGTGGTGAGTGAGAAGTCTTGAAATATCAGAACAACTTCCCTCCATGCAGTGAAGTGATGTTATATGAGGCACTTCAAAAGCAGAAATTCTCACGTGGATAGTTTCTCTTCTTCTTTGGGAGGCAAACACATTCTAATGTATTCCACAGATCAGTCAATTCAGTAGAGATAAATCTGGACTCTGCATTGCATCTTGGTCATCTTAGCAGGTTTCTATTCCTTCCCAGCTAGTTGTCAGGATTTTCAGTGCAGGATGTTTCTAGCTATGGAATTATGCTGAGTTATTATCATTAAAACAGTAGTTAGCAAGATCTGTCACACAAAATGAGGTTTTCTGTGGAAACTAAACATTACTGTGACTAAAATACCTTTGGAAGTTGATGGGGTCTGATGCATACACATTTTTGCACTGACTACTTTGGTTATTATCCTGAGTTACTTTTAAACCTGGCTGGAAAGATTCTCCTCAAGTTTAAAGCAGTGTAAATCCCCTGATTTCAACAGCCTTCATTTCCACCATCTGAGAATCTATGATTTTGGCTTTAACACTCCAGTGAGGGGAGATTTGCAGAGATTATGGTATAATTAATTGACATTCTTTGGTAATTGCATCACAGGCATCCATCATGTCTTGCACTGCTTTCTTTTTCTGTTCCATGGTATCTAGCAGGGACTGCCAGGTGTTTTTCAAACACTTCTGCTGTAACAATTCTACCCCTGCCTTGGGGCACATCAGAAGCTAACAGCCACACTCTTCTTCCAATGTCCTTTAAGTGCACAATGCCTTTCAGATGGCATTAATTGTCACCAGTCTGTTGGTACTGCATTAAATTGAGGTTATGATCAAATAATGTCATGCCTTTTTTTAATAGAATGATACATGTTTAAGTTTGGGGAGATTTTTTTTTTTTAATGCAGCACCATAACTTCTTGGCCTTCTATTAAACAGGGAAACTCGGTTCCTTCTGCACAATAAAACTGAATATTAAAGAAGACTCTACAACATTCAAATCTTGGGTCAGAGTCTTACTAGATCTCAAAGCTTGCAAGTATTTTGGTTTGGGCCCATTTTATTAAATGTGAAAAGTGGAGCCACAGCACAGCTTGTCTTTCAGATTCAACGCAGTACCTAAAGCGCTAATCATTAGAAAACTATGTTCTGGAGCTGGAATGCAGCAAGTTTTCTCTGTAATTCACCAAGAATAAAAGGGGGTTAATCATGTATGAATCACTTTTCTGACTAACACCATCATACAGAGTAAGGAAGTGATTCATGTGTTTTTCCATTTTATTTTATATTAAAGTCCAGCCTACTCAAAACATTTCCAAAAAGGAATGATACTCTTCTCAGCAAATATGCCATCACCCTCAGTGCCCTACAAAGAAAACTTAGCAATACATATTGCCATCAACAGTGCTGCTAGTTCCAATGAGTTTATTGTGAGCTTGTCCCATCAAGCTGCCATACCTGCCGTCTTGACACTACTGGAGAACCTTAGATTTATTTATAAGAAAGCCGACAGTTAAGTGCAGAAAAAGCTTGCATATGCAATCCTACTGCAACTTGAGATTTGGAAGTCAGAAGGCAATGAAAAATAAGGAAACAAAAAATAAACCACTTTACTTATTTTTATTACTGAATTTCATTGTTTTAAATTAATTTCTTGATTGTGAAGAGGTCAATCTTATGATTTGTAATGTTATGTGTAAGGAACTTTGCACTGAACAAGCACTGCAGGGTCCTGAAGGGCAGAGTCCCAGCTGGGCAAGGAAGCTACATACACTAGTTTTCCTGCTGGCATACAGATTCAGCATCAACACTGGCTTGATGGAATAGCAGACACAAGTCTTCGTTCCTAACTGTATTTCACACCTTCCTTCATTTCTTCCAGGGAGCGAGTTCTCAGGGAACCCCTACAGCCACCCTCAGTACACAACCTACAACGAGGCCTGGCGGTTCAGCAACCCTGCGTTACTAAGTGAGTACCTCTTTCCCACAGCACACCCCCAGCCTCGCGCTCCTTCTGTTTGTCTATTCGTTTTCTTTGTTTTTTGGTTTTGTTTGTTTGTTTGTTTCTGAAGAGGGTTTTCAAGTATTTGGGCAGGTGATAGGCCTTTTCCCTCACTCTCAGTCCAGTGTTGAAATGGGTATATACTTCATGCATGTTTTGGAGCAGTTCTGGAGCTGATTCATCTTTGATGAGACGGTTCAAAACTCAAGTTCAGCTCTGGCTTCTCTGTGAGCTGCATCCACAGTTTATTACAGATTGTATCAGAAATTAAATTCAGGTTCTGTTACTCTCACAGGCTGTAATCAGCATCCTTTCAAGGCCTTATTAAAAATCCAGACGACATTTCACTCCTTTCCCAAGCTAAACCCAGACTCAATTCCTGGGGATCTGTAAATCCCATAGAAGTTCTTCCTATTCAACCAGTTAGAACAGTGTCCAGAGTGGGAGACAGGCTGCATCATTAGGTTTACAATAGCCAGCAGAGTTGCCTTGCAGGGATATATATCCATCTCCAGTGACTAATATGTCCAGAAATAATCAGGATTTTTTTCAGAGGAGAAAAAAACTCCTATGAGACTATCTTCTAATACAACACCTCTTTGCAAGGGAATAAGAAGAGATTTATTATATGTAAAATAAATCAGTTGTGATTATTACCTACATATTTACTGAGGTTTAACAACTGGATAATAGATGCACATTTTATTCCAGTGTTGTTAAACCTCAGTAAATGTGATCTTAATAATCAATCACTATTTAACACACATTCGATAACCATCTAGAAAGATTTCACGTCAAATGTGACCCAAATTCCAAGCAGTAAAACACTGTAATTTTGTTTCATTTCTCTCCTCCTGGTTATAAGAGTGACCTGTTATACTTTGTCAGGTAGGCTCAGAACTTCTGGCCCTGACACTTTTCTTGTGGCTACAGATCAGGTGTGACGTATTTGTGCTTCAATGTTGTTGTGGTTTAACCCCAGGCATTAGCCAAGCCCTATGCAGCCACTCATTCACTCCCCCACCAACAGGATCGAGGAGAGAATCAGAAAGATAAAAGCTAGAAAAATAGCTGTGGATTGAGATAAACACAGTTTAATAGGGAAAGCAAAATACACACATGCAAGCAAAGCAAAACAAAGAAATAATTAACTGCTTCCCATGGGCAGGCAGGTGTTCACCCATCTCCAGGAGCGCAGGGCCCCATCACGTGTAATGGTTGGGAAGACAAACACCATCACTCCAGACGTCCCCATTTCTTCCTTCTTATCCCCCCTTTAAAAATCAAGCATGGCACCATACAGTATGGAATATTCCTCTGGTCAGTTTGGGTCATCTGTTCTAGCTGTGTCTCCTCCCAGCCTTCCATGTACCCCCAGCTTGGCAGTACGAGAAGAAAAAAAGGCTCTGTGTAAGCCCTGCTCAGCAATAACGAAAACATGTCTGTTATCAACCCTGTGTTCAGCACAAATCCAAAACACAACCCCATACCAGCCACTGTGAAGAAAACTAACCCTGCCTTAGCCCAAACCAGCACAAAAGTTCATGGGCTTAGTTACTGACGGTCAGAAGAAGCAAAAGGATCTCCTTCCCATAGAGGGCTGTCAGATCCAGAGGCCACATTAGCATCTATCCACTGAAATGCAACCCTCAGCTGGCTTCCACTGATTGCCTTTCCCTAATCCCATTAGGAGCTCAGTCCCCAAATTTGTTCTTTTGGTTTCTTTCGCTTTTCTTTTTTCCTACCTTTCCTTTTCTTTTCTGTTCTCCTGTATTTCTTTTCTTAGTTTGATTGTTTGTGTTTTTGTTTTGGTTTGGTTTTTTTTGTTTACTGTTTGTCCTTTCAACCAGTCCATTCTTCTCCTGTGTTAACTTTCAGGTTCCCCTTATTATTATAGTGCCACATCCCGGGGCTCCGCACCTCCCACTGCTGCCGCTGCCTATGACCGCCACTAGTTACCATGGAAACCACATGAAACTGCAGGGCGACAGCTTAGGCCTCCACATTGTACCTGTCTGATCACCTCCCTCATCCCTGGGAAGGGTGAAGAGACCTTCTCCGTTCCTCCCCACAGTCCAGTTCCTTCCTCTTCGCCATGAAGGCGCCGGACCAAGCGCTCACCACATGAGACTGAGACCCCCTCCCTCCCCCTGCCCTCCGCCCCGACCGCTTCCCCCACGCCGGGAACAGCCTGCGGCCAAGTGGCTTCTCCTGTGGGAGCCCTCCAATGCCCCTGGGTAAAGCTCAGCCACATGAAGTCCACTCGGCTTCCAGAACTCCAGGGGGACTGGGAAGCAATGCAGCTGGCAACCATTGCCTTACAGGACCCCTTTCTGGGAGCGGTAAGGGCCAGGGAAACAGGGGAGAATGCCGCTCATGAAACACTGTTCCCCAAAGATATACTCTTCTGTGGTGGACTCTTGATGTGTGTAACCTGTGATGGTCACCCTGTTCCCAGGACAGAGGGAACAGTCTGGCTAGAGCAGAGATGGCAGTACAGAGCCCTGGCCCATCTGGCAATGAAGAAAGGACCAAGTAATGATCTGCACCCCATGAGGGGTTCTCTGTGCACCTCATCCCCACTCTCCAGCATGGATTCCCCCAGAGTTGGCTGCACCTCACGGGTGGTGACTTTGCAGGCCAGAATTGGGAGGAACCTCACACATATACCCACAATTTCTGTGACACACAATCAGCTCAGACAGGAGGATGGAGCAACATTTACAAACAAACCGACGAAATGAAGAAATATATAAATAGATATATAAATATAACTGTGTTTTTATGCTTTGTCATGAAGGTCTGTAAAAAGGAACAAAAAAAATCCCCAATTTTCTAAAAAACCCAAGTGAACAAAACCAACAAAAAAACCAAAATAATAATTAAAAACCCTACAAAAATAAAACTCCAAGTCCCATCCCTCCCCACCACCTGAATGGCAGACAAGTTCCTCTGACGTTTGATGCTCCTCTTTCACTCTAGGGTTTTGTTTCCTTTCTGTTTTGCACTACAGTGGGATGGTGGTATTGGAGAGGATTGGATGCCAGCTCCACCCGGGAGCCTCCTCCTCCTCCCCCTTTCCCAAAATCCTGTCTCTGGGGAGCAGTGTGGACAAGTCACATCTGACAAAGTTACCAAACACATCAGTCGACAAAAAAAGCACTCTGAGTCAACAAACGTTTTCCATGTCACTGGTTGGCAAACAAAGAAAACAAGCCCAGCTGCGCTCTAACTGCGCTGTGTGGTGGAAAGTGTGGGGCTTCATCTGGGCCCATCTGATTGCCCTCTGGACAGCTGAGACTGAGATGGACAAATTCAGGATTGGCTGGGATTATTGCTTGGTTCCCTAGCCCTTAGCCTTCAGTCCTTTTACCTTAACCTCTACTCATGACGACTTCAGTTCACCCACATCCCAACTTTCGCAATTTTAGATATGCCCAACACCCATTCTCTGCTGCCGGTGACAACAGCCTCATTATCTGTGCCCAACACCTGATTTCCTAATCACTATAGCCCTGCTATATGGGCCCCCCTTTGATTCCCAGTCCATCTGCTCATACACCTAGTAATTTATAGGCCCCACTCAAATCCATATGCCTGCATCCTACCAGCCAGTTCCAACATACAGCCCCATCTTTCCATGTTCAATCCTACATTGTGCATCCTAATATTTACCCCTTATCCCAAATGCTCACCTGATGATTCTCTAGGGATTCTCTGCTCTTTTTGGTTCCCAAGTGACTGACAAACACTGTTCTGCAAAAGGCTAACTGTCAATAGAAATGCTTATTACTTCTGTATTGTCAGCAAACTCATAAACTGTTCCTTGCACTGACACTTCCTAAAAAATTACTCAAAGAAAACATGAAGGCAGCTATAGCCTGCCCCCAGGGCATCAAGTCTGCCAAAGTAGATCCTTGTTGTTTTAGAGAGGTTTCAGATAAAACTCATGGGCTATTGTCCGTGGACAATGACAGGATTGAGAATAAAACCCCCAAAGGGCATAGAAATGAACAGTGGAGCAATCTGTACAGCCAACATCATGTATAAAATCCAAAGTTCAAAGCCTCTGAGGAGATGTGGTAGTGGACTCTATTCTGTCTCCAAGTTAAACTTGTATGTATGAAATCCACCATCAGTAAACAGCTGTGTTGATCCCAAAGGCCCCTTTCACCTCACTCTTTTAGCCTTTGCATGGATTTAGCTGATTATATGTCCGTGTCTTCTTTAATGGGTTGCCCAAATGATAAGGGAATTTGGGGGGATATTTACATAGAAGATATAGAGCTAAAATCTGTTCCTATGCAGAATAAAATCAAAGAGGTTACTCCTGATCTGTTAAAAGTGTCATTCTGCACATCTTACCTCTGAGTAACCTGCTGCAAATAGCAGAGTTATTACACTATCACTGAGACCAGAATTTGGCCTGTTATCCCATCTTATTCTTTGAGACAAGAAAATTCTGTGCAATTTCTAAAAATATACTTTCACCACTCCTCCTCTTTTCCTTCACAGACATCAGATAGATGCTGAACCCTGTTAGTAGTGTCTCACTTTTAGTCTCTCAGTACAACCTTTGCTCTATTTGTGCACCACCCAGATTCACTCAGTAGGTGGTCAGGGCAGAGGCAATAAATCCCAGGACCAACAAGGAGAAGGTCCTGAGGAGACTAAAGAAAAGAGACTCTCACACCTCCCACTTGGCCACCTGCAGCCCAGGGGCCAGCTTGAGAAAAACTAGCAGCTCAGAAATGCTTATTTTTATAATGGTGTTTTGCTAAACTTGAGACATGAGCTAGGGTCTGAAAGCAGGATTTAGTTGGCTCACTCATGGCTGGCTTCATTTGACCCTTGGAGGGCCAAATCTGTTGTTGGTTGAACTCCACTGATGAAAGAGGATTTCCACCAGGCACTGGATTGGTTTGGAAAGTTCATAAGTACAGCATGTAGTTTGACTTGGAAAATTAAAAGGAAAGCAGAATTATGCAAAAAAACTGGGCAGTCTAATCCTCTTCCACCACCATCTGTAGACCCTCATGCGAATGTACTGAATTACATTTGCCAAAGAGTTTCTTGTGTTGGTTGTTTTGATTTACAGTCGGTGGATGCATTGTAAAGCAGTATTATAGCCCAAGTCTAGTAGCTGACGTGGGGATTTATGTGGTGATATTATGCAGAAGAAAACCATCAATATTCATATAGATTCCATTAGACTGGACTATGCAGGAAACGCAAAAATTCTACCAATTATTTAATATTATGTTATTTGCAAAAAACAATTGCTGCTTTGTAGGAAGATAATGTGTGTAATGTGAAGGCAATTCCTCTTGTATATAAGTTCATCTCCATCTTCATCATGGTAGTTATTAAAACAGCCTCGTCTCATCCTGTAGATAAGGAACACGCTGTGTGTACTGTGCAAGTCTCGTTGTGCTCACTGAAAACAAAACGATGTGTTCAATAAAGCACAGCACAAATTCAGAACCTGAGGGAACAGCCAAACCTTGGAAGGACCCCTTTCCCCAACAGGCCAACAGCTGCTTTTGTATAGGTGGAATTTTTTTTCTTTTATTTTTATTTTCCTTTAAAAAATTTTACAGGAAAAAAATGAAAAAGGATTGGAGGAAGAAATATTATGCAAAATCCAGTGAAGTCTGACTCAAACCTCTCCTCAATTCTGCTGTGTCTTACCTTTCCCATATTTCTTTCTCACACCCTCTTTCCATTCAATTTCTATCCCTCTCTTTTATTATTTCTCATTCCCAATGCACTTTTCTATCCAGGGAGGGAACAGCGTTATCGATATGGGAGCAGGTATCTGGGACCTCAAACTCCCCAGTTCTCTCTATCGCTCTAGAAAACCTTTGTCAAATCCAATTTCCCCCTCTACCTCAGTTCCAACCCTCTGTAAAATGGGAATAACAATAGTTTCTAGTTCACAGGGGGATTGTGCAGCTGAATCAATTAGCACTGCCTCAGTGCTTTGAGATTCTGGATAGAAAATTCTATCAAACTGTTAAGTATTATTGTGAATAATAATTAATGTTTCCATTACATTTCTCTCTTTTCCTTTTTCTCACAACTCATCCTTTGTTTCTTTATTATTTTTCTTAGCTCTCCCTTCACTTCTTCCTTTTCCGATCATTCTTAGTTTTGCTGCTATGTTTGCTTTATCTAATGGACCAAGCAGAAATGTGAACCTGGATCTCCTTCTGTCTCCACTTGATCATGGGGGAAGAATCTCGTGAGTTCTCAAATGCCATGCTTGGCAAAAGGGACCATGGCATTTAAAACTGGCAGCACTTTTGAGTCCTGTTCTCTGAAGCTCCTTTTGGCCCAACAGGATGTGGGGCAAGACACAGGAAGGGGTTGCGTGAGGTGGATGCATTAAAGCTGACACTGCTGTGGCCTGTAAATCTGTTGGGGAGGGTTGGTGGCAATGAGCCCTGCTGTGGTAACAGAAGTTTGCATGCTTTCTGACCCATCGGTAGCGATGAATCAACCTCAGAGTACAACTTCAGAATTAATCACAACATGAATGTGAGGACGTTAAACAAACAAGAAAAGGAAAACAAAAAAACCCTGCACCTCTTTCTTCTCTTGAGTATATACTTATATATGCATATTAACATTTCCCTAAAGGAATTTTTAGTTTGCTGAACTGTTGGAAAAAAACCACCCTTTTGTCCCTAAGGAAAAGCACCCCTCTGGGCAAAGAAATAAGAATCATAGCTGAGCTGCCCCCTTTGGCACTGACAGAGTGAGGGCTTCTGAGGGACCCACAAATACCACAGTGTGCTTCCTTGACTGGGCCCAGGACAGTGGCAACCTTGCAAAGCAGGGAGGAGGGACCAAACTGACAATTACAGAACTGATGACAAATCTAACCGTAGAGCAGCTCTGCTGATGATCTCCAGGCTAAGCTAGACATGAGACCGTGGAGGGGAGGGGGCCAGTGCCAGGTGCAGGGTCACATCCATTCTAGGCTGCTGCAGCCCCTCTTGGCTTTTCCTCATCACTTCAGTTCTGTTTGACCATTTTCTTTTCTCTTTTTGTGCACATGAGAAATAAAAGCAATTTTTTTTTGTATGTCATTTTTGTGGCTTCTGGCTTGTTTCTCTTTCCCTCTCCTACTCTCTCTACCCCCCTCCTCAGCACTTCACTCTCCAGTAGATTCCCCTTGAGGTCTCTGGGATGTTACATTTGTTGCACCTCACACCCTTGGGGCACCATGTAAACAACACCATGATTGCTAACAACCACCACGCTGGGTGATGGAAGGCACTGCACATGCTTGCAACACCCCATAGTACAATCCACCCTCTGAGGCCCTGCCAACCCCCACACGCTTCTATTCATTGCCAGCAGGACTCCCTCGTCTGCTGATCTCACTCAGTTGACTCCCAATGATCCATAACACATCAGGTGTTCCCAGGTAGTTCAAAAAATCAAAATGCCGCAACATCAGAAAGATGTGGGGTAAAACCCAGAATCTCCTTTCCCTTTATGCCTGTTTCCCCTTAGCCCCAACTGGAGATGAGCAACACCTGCCCAGTGTGCGTCCAGGAGGATTTAAAATCTTCCCAAATCAGCCCTGATGCTCCATCAGAGCACTGAGGGGGCTGTGTGAGAGGTCTCAGTAAAGAAAGGGTGGCTGACAGCTCTCCGGTCTTACTCCCCCTTCTCTGCTACCCTGATTTTAGTTTCACAAGAGGAATTCTGTTAGCCTGATGTTTTATTATAGCCTGCTCTCTCTTAATCTCTGTCTTGGTTAACTGGGGTGCAAAACCAAATGCAAGTCATTAATAACCCATTCTCCAAGCTATTCATCAATCACCTAACAGCTGGGCATTATATTAAGGTATGCTATAAACATACCAAATACTGAAGTATTCACTCAATTTTTCCTCAGTTAAGCATTAATTCCACAGAAAGTCATATGCAGTTTAAGGTCATAGAGGCAGAGTAAAAATGTAGCAATGAGTCAGGTTAGACTAAATCAATTTTGCTCCTACAATTTTTAGTCATTAACAAGTATTTTCACAACAGCTCATGAAAACCAGTGGGCCACATTTTCTGCCAGTGCATGTGTATCTTAAGGAAAGCCTGTGCAGAAGTGCTGTCATGAAATCAAATGCTTTCACTCATCAGAGACTTAAAACATTTCCTTTTGTTTCATTTTCTGTTTTCCCTTGCAGTATTAATAGAATAGGCAGAAAATCCTCCAAAATAACATTTTCCATAAGTGAAAGTCAATTTGTTGAAATCCAAACAGACTGTAAAAGCAATTCAATTTTCACAACACTGCAGCAAAACTGCCTGGCAACTATCCTGAAGTCAAAGGCCTCAGGTTTCCAGGGTCTGCTGCCTATGAGACAGACAGGCCTGGGATGTGATGCAGGGACAGGCTTGTGCTTGAAATTGGAACAAAACTGGATTCCAAAATTCTGAAATCTTCTATGCATCAGAATTCTCTTTCTCTACCAAAGTTTAGGTGATAAGATTGAAAGAGCAAATTGATAGATGAAGTCCTAGATGTTAAATTGACTGGAATCAAAGGAAATTACTAATGTACGTTCGCTGTCAGAGTTGAACGACAGGCTAAGAATCAACAGATAGATGTGTCAAAAGAAAAGAAAATGGATTTTCAAAATTCATCCTGGTAAAATAATCTTAAAAGAATGATTTAGAAACTAGCATGATCATCTCATTTATATCACACTTTATACAGCCTAGAGATCTTCGATCTGATATTCCTGCGTAAGTCTCCATAACTGATTGTAGAACTACAGCAAAACTTTTGCAACTTTCAAGAACTTCTATTTCTTGCAGAAAGAAATACTTGCATGAAAGAGCTATTTTCAGCATTTCAACTAGTATTATGTTCCTTTAATAATCCTGCATAATCAATGGGAGTTCTCAGTGTCAAAATGTTATGTGATAAAACTAAAAAGAGCACCACAGTCTGTCTCCAAATGAGGAAAATATCGTAAGAGTTTATGCAACACTAACTAAAGAAATCCTCTTTATGATTACTCTGACGGGAAAAATAAAGAAAAGTTTGAACATTCTGAGATTATGACAACCTTCTTTAAAAATAAATACACTCTTTAATGAGCTGTAGGCAAGGATAGATAATACACATCTCAAAGTGCTAACTTATGTAGTGGATGAATTTACTGGACACACAGTCAGCTCTGAAAAACAGTGGGGAGTGGCAAAAATGAAAGCACAGCAAACATGGCATCAATGTTTTAAAGGATTCTGAAAACTATGATCTAGTAAATCTACACGATGTTTGTATAGAAAGGAAAATACTTTAAAGTATTAAGAGAAAGATCAGCTCACTAAACAAGTAATGGTTAAAGAAGATATGCATAGTAAACAGTATGTACATGAATTCTTCTCTTCTTTAGAAGAAAGCTGGGAACATCCTGAGGACAGTTAACTTACTTGATTCAGGAGCTGTCTGCAGTGAAGCAAAGGAAGTTTGTTAGAGACTGTATTTTAGCCCCTCATACTCGAAAATCATGAAGCAAGTACACACAAAAATCACAAGATTGACTGGAAATCATGTAATTTGTATATAACACCAGACATAATTTTGTATATATGTATATTTATATACATGTATATAAAATAAATACAAAATAACTTTTGTTTAACTTCTAATTGCAGTGTTCTCGAGACATCTATAGCTACGCTTTTAATGGTGCCTCTTCCACTGTAAGAGTCAGAAATTCACTTCTAGTGAAAAGGAAGCATCTCACCACATCACAGGGACCCTGTGGTCTAGTGCTTTCAGAAGCAGCTCAAATGTCACAAGACCTGGAAATGGCCCAGTAACTCCTGGCAAGGCTGACTGAGCTGGTCTGATACCAAAGCTTATGATAGACCTGGGTTTTTTCCTGTCTTCTGCTGTGTGACATTTTGGTGGAAGATGCCCACCCAAAGCATGTTTGATAATTTCAAGTTCAAAACTCTACCTGAAAATTCATTCCATAGCAGATGCTTGTAAAGGACCTTTTTCCACTGGTCCTTATCCCTGTAGCAGGAGAACCCCTCTTGTCAACCGTGGCTGCTTCTTGCAACCCTTGTCCCGTCCCTGGAAGTGTTCAAGGCCAGGTTGGACAGGGCTCTGAGCAACCCGATCAGCAGGGTGGCATCCCGGCCCAGTGGCAGAGGAGTTGGAACTAGATGATCTTTAAGGTTCCTTCCAACCCAAACCATTATATGATTATATAATAACCTTCAATCTGAGACCAATTTCAAACACATCCTGCTGAACACTTACGAAAGGAATACAAACAAAACCTACACAGAAAACCTAAATGGTATGAGGCTGAACAGTGTGAAACTTCACACAAATAGAGAACTTCTCTGTACAGAAGAAAGAAGCATCTTTCTTCCATGTCAGCATCCATGAGAATGCAGTTT